AAATGCTGTCATAATGTCCTCAACCCAGCAGAAGAATTCAACAAACAGGGGAATAAATTATGATACTAACAACAACTGCTACTTTTTGGTTTTGGTAACTACTACTCACAACACAACAGAAATGTTAAATAACGCTAATAAATACTTGAGTGGTGCGGCGGTGTTCATGGAGATCGGCAAAGCAGCCGTAGGATTAGAAATCTGTGTGGGAAATTGAGAGGTTGTGGACCGTTGGATTTAAATGGGTTCGGGGTCAATGAATGAGACGGTTAGTTGACCGTAGTTATCGCCATTTTAGAAGTTGGAACTTGCAAGTTACAGTGGCATGCGTTGGCGTTTTATTCAATTTCGCCCGTCGTTTTCGTCGTTCTGTCCCTTTCTTACTTTATGGCGACATGGAAATGGAATGCAAGTGTCGACATTGATGTTGCATTTTGTATAACCTTGAAGTTTTCTTTTTTCTTTTTTTTTTGGTGTATTATTCTTTGAAGTTGGTTCCCGTGATTGATTACACAAATGTACAAATTAATTTTAACACTCAACCTTCTCCTTTATTTCTTTTTTCTTTTTCCTAAGAATTTCTAGAAATTTAAAATAGCCAATGGAACTAGCCAAAATTGAGGTGATGCTAGTGATATTTTTCTCTTTTGAGCAAGAGGTGTCACACTCATATTAGCTTCCCAAAAAATAATTGGAGTGGCAATTTATGAAATTTCTGCACGCATTAAATTGACAAAATCAAAGTCGCTAATTTGCTTCAGTTGACTTGATTGAGATGCATCAAAAACTAGCTTTCCAAGTTGTGCAAGGTGTCCAAGTTGTCACTATATGTGACGGTATTAATTGGATATTTTCGATGGAGTTTCTACTCACATCGAATTCCCCTCCCTCTCCCTCTAAATTAGGCTAGATTAGCTTATAGGAATTCCATCGTTGCGACAAAAAAAAAAGAAGTTATGCAAGGTTCTTGATTGGAAAGGGCTACATCCATGATTTATGGTGAACCAAGTTTAGATTCTCATCAGATTTCTTCGTTACCCTCCAATAGTTACTCAAGTCTAAGCCAAAGGAGGTGCTTAAAGATTCTTCCAAGTCCATCCATGATTTGATGATCCATGACCTAAAATTAGTAGCTTTTTTTTTTATTTTTATGGAGGGTGCCCATTAACTTTCGGCTAAACATGCATACGTACGACTTTTTAGGAGTAGATACAGTAGAAGTATTATTATTGCTTGTTTGCAGGATCAACAATCTGAGAGATTTCTTGCGACTGTTCTATCTGAACTTCATTTCAGGCGAAAGATGTGGTGGATGAGGAAGGGAAGTGCCTGTCGACCTCATTCGCCTATCATTGCAACTGACAACTCGCAACTACAAAGAAAGCAATTGCAACTTGTGACAGGGCTCAATCTCAGTGTCAGTGAAAAACTTTTGGGATGACAAATGGATAACATGCATGCTTCATCAATAATTCCCTAACTTTTTTTGCCACTTCCAGTTGCAGATAGCAAAAGCGAAACAGTTAGCCAGTCCGAAGACAAGATAGCAGCTGTACATTTTCACTCAAAGTTTCCAGTCTTTAGTTTAACTTTAACTTCCAAAAATACTCTTCCAAATACTACTAAATCTGTTTTTTTTTTTTGGTCAATCATCAATTCCTATTCTCGCACCTTAATCTGTAGTATCGGAGGAGTAGGGGGTTTAATTCCAGATGCATCCCGTGAATAATGAGTTAATCCGTGAGGGAATCTGGGGATAGTTGTCCTGTCCCTCGAGGGTAGGCCGGCAGGCATTGCGTCTGGATAGGAAAGGGATGTGGTTTGTATGGCCTACGAGAATTGTGATTGCGTTAGCTAGAAAGATTATCCTAGAACCCATCTTAATTTGGAGTTAATGACTGATTAGACTGCCAAATTGGGGCCAAAGTCTAGGAGATAAGTATATTAAAAACAGGAAACTCGAGATCCAGGTAATGACAAGAGAGCAACAACAATCGAGTGCAAGTAATTAAAGTTTGTGGGTGAAGCTGGACCATATTAAAGTAGTAGCAGTTCATTGCCACGCTATTGTTCTCTTTTGACCCGCAAGATTACTATATAGCATATATTCAAGATGGATTGATACACGGAAGGGTTGGATAATTGGATTGAATGGTAAGGTAAGAGAGATTGTGAGTAGTAATATGTTCTGAGTTCAAAATCTCTCATTTAAAAAAAATAAATGATGGATTAATGCATATTTATGACTGTTGAGAATAGGATGCAGCATACTAAGTAGTCATTAAATGCAAATTAAATGAGCTCATTATTATTATTATTATTTTTTGTCTGACATGATAGACCTACATTATTCTATATTAAGGGAAGAGGGGACCTGAAAAGACCCAAGAACAATCAGGAGTTGACTGAATCATCACCGGCCCAAACGGGTGTCTACGCATCCGCTGCTGACGACATTTTCAGGAAATTTGAATTTTAGAATGTAGACGAGGAAATGAGCTCATTAGTGTGCTTAAAGATCTAGCAAGTTAGGCTAAATTTGACTTTAAAGATTACTATATGGTCTGTCGTATAACGTGCAAGATTAATACTACTAGGTAGTAGTTACTAACGCCAATTCTATCCTTCTCCGGAAAAGGGAACTTACTTTGTTTGGCTTCTAAACTGCATGGGAGGATCATGTAACGTGCAAGGCAGCAACACAGCTTTTTATATATTATTATGAGACAAAATCCTCAAGTACTTGACAAAAATGGGACTTTCCCTCAAAAAAGTTTCATACTATTTCAAAGTTGTATACTAGTATATGCTACATATGTACGCCATTCATCTGGAAAAAATAATCCAGATTTTGTTTGTAGGCTGATGCAGCTGTACAGTGTCCAAAGAAAGATATTTGCTTATCTTCATCTCTCTGTGAAAGTATGGAATTCCAGTACTGAGATTGATTTTTAATCTAAATGAAATCTTTTTGATATTCGTATCGAGTTGAAGCATACGAGAAAAAGAAGGAAATCAAGGAAAGAGCATATGGGGTGTGTGCTGTCCAGTTTGCACAAGTAAATAGATTCACAATCACAATGAGGGTGGCTTTCAACTTTCAAGGGGGCTTTGGGAGTGTTTCCAAAGCGAGTAAGTGCATTGTTGTGAGTTTCTTAGTACTAAAATGAACTTTCCGATAAATCTAGGACAGCAAGATCAGGTTCGAGTAATTTCCTGAGATCCATGAAGTGTACTTTTTCTTTTTCTTTTTTTTTTGGTTTGGAGAAAAAAATGAGTTGTACTTCAACTAGGTTAATTTCTTGTTTTCAGACAAATTGATAATTAGTCCCTCGATCTTTGGATGATGATTAATGGAGACACCCATGCATGTGAGGACCGGAATCTACTCCAACCAGGGGCGGAGGGAAGGGGGGGGGGGGCAACCGCCCCCCCTCCAATTGTTAAAAAAAAAATTTCTAAGTAAAAAATTTTTTATTATATTGTTTTGCCCCTCCAAATATTGATAAAAAATTTCACTTTGCCCCCTCTCAAGGACCCAAACAATAATGTTTGAAAGTTATTTGGACTTGGTCCAAATAACAGAGACTCGCCCCCCTAATTGTAATTCCTAGCTCCGCCACTGACTCCAACAATGCATACGCAATGAACAAGCAAACTACTACCAGATTGCTGTGAAATTGTCATTTGTCAGTGCTTCTTGAAAAAAAAAAAAAATCTGAAATACAGAAGTTGGGCTGTTTACGATGAGGAGCATGTTTGATTGACAATGGGCTTATTGTTCCGCTCGAGAGACCATATGGGTGGGCTTCGCCTGAGAATTCTTTCCCCCTTGATGAGTTAGAACAGTGGCTGTACTCCCTTTTCGTATAACATTGGTTTGTGTACAAAAGCACCATGGGCGTAGTTCTTGGGTTGATGGTGCATAAGGATTGGACCAGGAAAGGAATTGCTAGGTTATTCTTGCCTTTTTTTTTTTTTTTGGTTGAAGAAATGTTATTCTTGTACATTGTTCATTTTTAAGAGACGTCCAATGTTGTCAACTAATTCAATTGATGTTTATCACTTTACTTTTTCTCTCTTTTAGTTTTTTTTTTTTTTTATGAAGTAAACTTACTTGTTTCACTATAACTCGAACTTCAACTTTCTTTTGTTTTCCATCATTTTTTAAAATCATTCAAACCTCTTCGCATGTCTTTTCTCACAATAACTGTTAAAGTATAGAATTCAAACTCTTAACCTGAACAGTATAGAAATTCTAAGAGCCTTTCCTAAATCAATCCAAGTTGTTTCTTTTTTCCATTTTAAAGCTAAATAAACGAAGGAGAAGGACGAACTAAGAAGGAGGTAAAAGAATTTAATTTAAACAAATAGAACCTATTCAAATTGGATAACACTTGATGTCGAAGTTTTTTTTTTAAGAATTTATTATTTATAATTCCCCTCAATTTATCCTCCATCCTAACTCTCCTTCAATTGAAGCTGAAACTTCATGCTCATGTAGAAAAATCTCAATCAACCATAACTTAATTGCAGAGGATTAATGCATCAAACACGTTCGATTAATCAAATGTTCTTTTATCTTTGATACTCATCCATCACACCCCCACGTATATCCTGTATGGTCGTGGTAATGCTTCTTCCTTCTTTTAATTGATGTTTGTATTTTTTTTCTTGTATCACAACTAAAAGTTTCAACTTTAAAATAAAGTGATTATAATCAACTAAAAAGTAAGAATTAAAATTTTCTTTTTCTCTTCCTCCAGCCCTCCATTAAGCCCTGAATTTTCCTCTCACCTGTCCTTTTTTCACGTTGAAATTGTATATACATATTTACCTCGTGTAACAATTGGTAACATCCCATTAAAGTCACGACCCATGTGCTCGTCCCGACCCAAACCTAATCCACGATCCATCATCTAAACAGCCCAAGACGACAGATAGAACCAAACAGGCAGTCGCGTCGTCAGTCGTCTTGCCCACCTAATCTTGGTTCTTGGCTCCCCCCTAAGCCCGAGCGGGGAGCCACCGAACCGAACCAACCAATTGGTCAAACCATTACCACGACTGGTAGCTCAATCATCAACTTTCACCAGATACTCCAATTTCCATTACCACAACTGGTAGCTAGCTCAACTCACCTTGATCGGTAATTCCTCCCTCTCTCTTCCCAGGATTTTCCTCTGAATTATAATCCAATATCTTCGACACTCCCGATAATGCCCTCGCCTTCCAACTCGTCTTCCTATTCTTCCTCCTCCGACGAGCAAAACCCTAATTCTGCCCCTAACCCCAACCCTCCCTCAATTGACCAGTCCCTCGACGCTATCGAGAATCAGCTAGCCTCAATTTCAACGTTTCAACCGGGTTCCTTGCTGGAGCCCGAGTCGGAGTTCGGTGTCAACGATGATGAAATTCGAGAGGAATTGGTGAATGGATCGATAAATGAGATCGAAGAGCTGCCGGGGAACTCAGAGGAGAAGTTGAAGGTGAGCTCGTCGAGAGTATGGGCGAATGTTTCGGAAATGGAGGAAGGGGCGGCGCCGTCAAGTCCGAGTAGCAGTGGGTATGCTGGTGAGAGAGGGAGTAGTGCCACCAGTGGAGTTGAGGAGGATGGAAATGATGATTATAATGACGACGAGATTGTCGAAGTTCGGAGTAACGGTGATTTTGACGGAGTTGCACATTCTCCGGCTCCCTGGACTCCCGGGAAACGCCATGGCGATGAGGTCAGTTTACGGGAAATTTTAGAATTTTTGGCTCAAATTTCTGAAGGGTATCCTGTTTTGTTTATAGCTATATTTAAACTAATGTATGGTTAAGATAAGTTGGGACCAATGCATGATTTTATAGATTATTGGAAATGACCCTTTCAAGTAATTAGGAGGTTAATTGATTTTGGTACATAATATTTGACATTATTTGTGTATGTGTACATGCATGTAAATGCTTCTTCAACTAACCTTCTGAATTAATATAAAGTGTCAAGCTATTTGTTGTGCTTGAAATCATGTCACAAGTGTTGGTGTTTGCCCAAGATTAATAGCTTTAATGCTGTACCATTGGAACACATGAAGAGTTCCATTTTCTGAAGATGTTGACAATTTTGGCACGTACTTTTTCCCTTACTTTATATGAATTGCTGTAGTAATTTCTTATGTTGATTCGTATCTTATTTGATTACCAGCTTTATCTTTCTGTTTGATAAATCGATGAAGTGCAGGATGATGATTCTATTTCATGGAGAAAAAGGAAGAAACATTTCTTTATTTTGAGTCACTCTGGAAAACCCATTTATTCGAGGTGTGTATATGCTGCACAATTTAGTCTCGTTGGGACATAGAGTTAAGAGTTTTATTTTGCAGCACAGTGTGGTCCTGGATCTAGACATTCTTAATTAGTTCTTTTTTTTTAATTATGTTTAAAGATATGGAGATGAACACAAGCTAGCTGGATTCTCTGCGACTCTACAGGCCATTATTTCCTTTGTGGAGAATGGGTACATTGATAGCTACATCCACTTCAAATTCTATTGTGGTTGATCTTTTCTACTTATTGACTTGTTCCACCTCTTTTAGCAACAAAGATTAGCTTAAATCGCAATAGTTATGCATCATTGACTTCTTTTCAGGGGAGATCGTGTGAAATTGGTAAGAGCAGGAAAGCACCAGGTCAGTAAAACTCCTCTCTGGACCTTCATGAAGTTTATTTTTTTAGAGATTATAAGTTTCTGTTTTGAATTTAATTGTCTTCACAAGTGAAAAAATAGCATTGCTTTGTGTGTGCGTGTGTTTTCCAAGCCTTGGATAATTTTACAAGCTTCCATGAACTTGTTTGAAGGTTCTTTTTTATATCTGAATACGTTAAGAATTAGACAGAGCTGTTTGAGATGTGAATGATAGTTCTCCAGCAAAAAAAGAAAGAAAGAAAGAAAGGAAGAACAAAAACTTTGGTGGTTTACTTATCCTTGGAAATGACTCCTAACATGTAGTACCTTTTTATGTAACCAAAAATGCATTTGCTGAGCTGCAATTCATGTTATGTAGTTGACTGCTATAGTCTTGTATTTTTCTTTTTAAATCCAAATTAGAGAAGTTTAATAGGTTTAGCATGAATTAAACGAGGGAAATTGCTTGGTAGGGCACTTGATTTTTGTCCTTGGGCAATTTGCAGTTTTAGAGCCATAATAGGATGGAAATATCTTATGGTTTGTAAGAAATGTAAAACAAGTTGTCAGCATCCTCTTGTTAAATAGTTTCTTATTATTGAAAGTAGAATAGGTTTAGGCATTAGATGTTGCTTTCTCTTCTATGAGGGAAAATGCATTTATCTGTGAGGCTATTATTAGCACGGTTTCATCTGTATCCTGCTATAGTAATCGAATATGACAGCAAAAAATCATTCTTCGATAATTTGCTGCTGTAAAAGGATGCTTTGCCTGGAACTTTGGCCCTCTTTATCTTGAATAATTGAGGCTTCAAGATCTATTTCAGGGGAAAGTTTTTGTGTAGTATCTCCAACTGTTTGTTTGCCCAATTCAAATTTGAGAGATTAAAATTCTTTTGCAAATGCCTTGCTTTCATTTTTCTAGTTTGAGATGACCCAAGTTGTGTAGTGTTTTCCAGGGTGCATCTGCATCATACATATGTCCTGGCCTCACTTTACTCTCATAAGTGTCCATAGAAGTAAAGGCCATTGTGGTAGATTATGTATTTTATTTTTACTTTTATTTTTGGTATTTTGTTTATTATGGGATGGGATGTAGAAATAGGGTGATATCTTTCTTTCTTTTCATTAATTTGTCCATCGTGTTTCAGGTTGTTTTTCTTGTTAAAGGACCAATTTACCTCGTTTGTATAAGCTGTACAGAAGAGCCATACGAGTCACTGAGGGGGCAACTGGAGCTTCTCTATGGTCAGGTAGCTTTTTTCCTAATTTGCAGGATTTGACTCTGAGATGTATTCCTAGAGAAAATAAACTTTGCTGTCTGGAAGTTTTAATTACCTTTCTACTTTATGTCTGATTGATTCATTTAATAGAAGTCTTCCAACAATTAATGCAGCTACTTATTATTCAATATGATTGCAGATGATACTTATTCTTACAAAGTCTGTAAATAGATGTTTCGAGAAGAATCCAAAATTTGATATGACGCCTTTGCTTGGAGGAACAGATGTGGTCTTCTCTTCTCTCATCCATTCTTTCAATTGGTTTGTTATTTATTCTCTCTTCCCTGTCATAATAATTTAAGATCAACTTGTGGCAATTTATTTATTTTTTCCCTTTTCAGGAGTTGTCTTTTATTGACTTGGATTGTAGTACTTTCTTGAGTGTGAAGAAAAATGCAGTTAAGCAAGGAACTAATAAACTTCCTTTTCCTTTTATTTTAAGACTTAAAAGGTTGTCGTGCTGTTAAAATGAGATCCAGGAACAAAATATTCTGAAATTTTTGGAATGTTTATATTCCAGAAATTCTGGCTACTTTACTTGCTGAATGGTCTCAGATTATGCAATATAATTTGAAAGATGAATGGAGAAAACATATTGTGCTTAACAAAGTTTTCAATGCTGTTTACTATCCGTCAGTTTTTAAAGCTGACAAGATGTCAATTCCGTCTTCTTAATCTTCCAACCTTTTGACTAATATACTGCTTGTAAATATTCATTGTAATTGACTTGCTTCATCCGTTGTGATGAAAGTTTTTACTATAACTTGTAGGAACCCAGCTACTTTTCTCCATGCATACACTTGTCTTCCCCTTGCTTATGCAACAAGACAAGCTGCTGGTGCAATATTACAAGATGTGGCTGATTCAGGTGTCCTGTTTGCAATTTTAATGTGTAGACACAAGGTTCTTTTTATATCTTCTTTATCTAATTGTGCTTTAAGAAAGAGGTTGGAATGTGATATTAGTAACTTATTGGTGAGACTACTCAATTGACATAAATGCAGGTTATCTGTCTCGTTGGTGCACAAAAAGCATCCCTTCATCCTGATGACATGCTTCTTCTCTCTAATTTTGTTGTATCATCTGAATCATTTAGGTATGTGCAATCACTGACTGATCTTTTATATGTCATTCTATGGCGCTTCTGCTTTTGCCCTGACTATATTCTCATATCAGTATTGTCTTTGTATAGGACATCTGAATCTTTCTCACCAATTTGCCTACCAAGATATAATCCCATGGCATTTCTATATGCATATGTCCACTATTTTGATGTACGTTACCCAAATTTCCAGTGTATTCTGAACTATTCTATTGATAGTTACTCTAAAATAAGAAATTGCTGAATTCAATATAGTTTGGTAACTCTGGATAAGAAGCTGTTCCTGCTGGTTGATTATCAACAAATGACACATAAAAGATGTTTTTGTTTGCAGGTTGACACCTACTTGATATTGCTCACTACAAGTTCAGATGCTTTTTACCACCTTAAGGATTGCAGGTGATTTATTTTGCTGGCTGTTACACTTCTTGATAGGTCAAGAATAAAATGTCACTTCCTCTATCTGTTCATTTTTGTTGTTATATATTCCGTCTAGCTCCATTCAAATAAGTATCTCCTTTGAACTTCGAGATTGAAATATCTTCTATATATGGCATAGGATTCGTATTGAGACTGTACTTTTGAAGTCGAATGTACTCGTCGAAGTTCAGAAATCCATGCTGGAAGGTCGCATGCATGTTGAGGATTTGTCTACGAACCCTGCTTCTCATCCTGGAATTGCATCCCCTCACTTAAGTCAATCTAGGCTTGCAACTGATTCCACAGAGAGGTTGACAGAGTTTATTGGTGTTGGTGGTCCTGCTGGGCTATGGCATTTCATGTACCGCAGTATTTATCTTAACCAGTATGTATCATCTGAATTTGCATTACCAATCAATAGCTTGCGACAGCAGAAAAGGTAATTTTGCACTATTTAGCTGGAGATTGTAGTGACAAATCTTGTTCATCGGAAAGATCTATTTTTTGGCGTGAACATGTGAGTTTTCTTTTGTAGGTTATATAGAGCTTATCAGAAGCTTTATGCATCCATGCATGAAAAAGATGTTGGACCACATAAAACCCAGTTCAGAAGGGATGAAAACTATGGTGAGAAGAAGCTCCATTTGGTTGGCATTCTTCATGGATAATTGGCTGTGTTATTCTTCTTTTGGTATCCAATGTTGTGAGATCTGTTTTTAGAGATTGACCCAAGAGTTGATGGTGGAAACTTTTTCAGTTACTTGAATAAAGAAATTAAAAGTGGTCTAATGTTGGAACTAGTTAGCATCTGAAATTAGGAATCTCACTCTTGAAAAGCAAAACTGAGAAAGTGGCATCTTTTGCCTGTCTTTGTACTGGACAATTTGAAGAATCTACTTCTGATGAGTACACTGATGGCAGTAGGAAGCATTGTTAGGCACAAATAGACTGTTAAATACTTCTCACTTTGTAATTTTATAAAATAATACATGAGCATTTCTTAAGTTGGCCCAGGTTTTGTTAAGCCACTGATTTTTTATGGAAAGCTAGTGAAAGTCATTATTCAGATATGTAAGCTTTTTCACCATATATTACCTAGTTTCAAACTCTATAGTGGTGTAGCTTTCTGCATTATGATTGCCCCTAATATATATCTCTTCAAATTACTTTTCGAGAATATGCATGTATATTTGTTTGTCATTAATTAGATGACTTCATATTGGGTTCTGGTAATCTCTGTCTGTATTAATGCTTCTCTATACTGCACCAATAGAGTTTTGATATTGTCAGTATGAGTTTCTCTTTCTTCCTGTTCTGTTTTAGCTGGAATAGGCTCCATATGTTTGATTTTGATGATTTGTCATGTCTGCTGATTGTTTACATTTGTTCAGTTAGTTTGGTTTTCTGTCAAATGATGCACTTTATTGATGTGCTCTTTAAGATTATTTTTTGATCTTTTCATTTAAGAGTTTCACTTTGGAATGGGTCCTTTTTAACGTGGCAGCACTGCTTTGCTGGGTCACTCAAGATTTTGAGCTATATGCGGCATTTGATCCCCTCGCAGACAAGGTTAGATGATGAAGATTCTTTCTATTATGAGTTCAACTTGTCTTAAATCTTAGCCTGAGTTGTCTCAAGTCAGCAGTTCATCATAATGTCATGCATAGGATTATTTTGAGTAAGACCATTATATGCCTGCACATAATGGAATAGACAAATCACCATTTGTTAGTGAATAAATTGATTAAAAGCGTATCTATAATGATAACTTGACCTTGTTTGATATGCAAGAATTGTAGTTGAGTGTCTTTCATTGTTTGGCACGCTACCTTTTTTTTTTCCCTTTAATCTCGTCTATAGTTGGTCGTTCCTTCTATTAAGTTATTATGCACTTATATTTCACAGGCTTTGGCTATAAAAGCTTGCAACCGGGTTTGTCAATGGGTGAAAGACGTAGAGAATGAAATTTTCCTGTTGGGAGCAAGCCCTTTTTCGTGGTGATATTTCTTTATTTATATAGGTATACAGGACGCACTCGAGTTCATTACTGCCTCGTCCTAATAAAATCTAGCCTGATTTTTTGATGGGCTCTGTATTATAGGGCTTCCATATTTATATTTTTCACACGGCATTATATGCCAATTCTGTAGCAGAGTCATTTTTGTATTCAGATTATGACCCTTTTGTAGCCCTTTATTCAGTATATTAAGGTATGAAATAGAGTATATTCTTCTTAATCTACTAATCAACATTGCGGAATATGCCTGTAGCAAGCTCGGTTTGGTGTTCTGTCTTGGCAGGGCGGCTATATGCGGTTTCACAAGACAGGCTTTTCGGTTTCAAGACTCGGGAAGCTTTTCGATTCTGCCAATCAAGAGTACGCATCTCACTTCTTAGCTGATTTCTTGAGACAGTCGACATTCGGTTCGCATGATTGACATTGAGTTGCCTTTCAATTTGTCGAGAAAGAATGAAAAGATCCCTCTCAGAGATCGTTTAGGAGCACTTTATATTCTGCTTTTTGGGGGGTCAGCTTAACCTTCTTCGGAGACTGGAATGAAGTTGTTCCCCACTAATAACGAAAATGGTCCTCCAGAATTATGGTTTGAGGAGTCGGGCATTGGCAAAAAACGCGGTTAATAGTGATGCTTTTGTACTTTGGACTTCTCTCCACGTTGAATATTCCACGGCTCTTTTAGGAATGATGGGACTCCTTTAGCTATTGGAGTCAAAAGAGTAGCTAGTAGTGTTATTCAAGACCTTTGATTCTGTGAAAGTGGTCGAGAGAATGATTTGTGCAGCCGTTCCGTTCCGGCAATATATATATATATGTATACGTTTCTTTGGGGGATTCAAGTTTATGGATGGGAATCGATACATTAAGTCGAGTTAGATATTGACACGCCATTATTTTTCTCTTCTAAGCACTGGAGTGGATCGTAATCGGTGGTCGAAAACACATAAATGCTCACGGTCTCAATTTCTAATTTGTCTGAGGCGGGGGTAGGAGAAGTGATATTTTAATAGTTAAACCAAAAAAAAAATTAACTTTATATATGCTAATAATGTATATGCTACCACAGACACGAGACATATGAACAATTTAGGTTTTAATTTTGAATTCAGATTAATTGTTATGCATTAAAATTAATCATAATATGAAAAATATTAAACTAACGGCGAGGTATTATTGCTTCCTTTAAGTGAGGAAAGTCATTATTTGATGTCATATGATTGCTTCCTTTAAGTCATTATTTCATCTCCAATAATGGCACCAAGCTCCGGCTTGCGAAATTAATGTGTAAATGACACACGATATGGTTCATTTATGATTTGGCCTAACTTCTACCAGAGTAACAGTAATGTTATTAATATCCTTGACTGTTGAAGAATGCATACATCATAGCTTTATCCACATCGTAAAACTTACGGCAGTAACTGCGTGTATTCAGTACTGCTGCTACTAGTATTCATCCACTCACCGAGGACTTTCAACAAGTCCTAAAGCCATTTTCCTGCCATTTAGTTCAATTCGTTGATAAGAACATTGGAACGATAATCAAATTATTATTATTATTTAAGTGAATAGCAGTTGATCCCTAAAGATTAAGATAGAGTCTAATTTAATTCCTGGACAATAAAAATGAGTCCAATTAGTTGGTGGTGCTTCAACTCTCTACGTTACAACAACGATTTTTGTTAATTGCTGACAAAGAAGGGCACATGCTCATGTGGGCTATTCATAAAGATGAATATAGAGAATAACCCACTATGTAGCATAATTACATGTTTTCACTTGCACCAATTGAGCTTTCACTACATGTGCTGTTTAGGAATAGGAACAATAATGTAACATTTTGCAAGCTATACAACTAAATTAAGATTTAAGTGAATATTTTTAGGATTAATTTTGTTTATATTGTCAGTCAGTGCATACACTAGTGAGCAAGAATACAAGTCAAATGTACAAGAATTGGAGTTTAATTTCATATTAAAATTATGTTGCATGTATTCATACCCGTTAATGTATGTAACACTATCATTATATATAAGATTAATGTATATAATATTAACTCGTATTTTTATCGTCAAATTAGATTGGTCCAGCCTCGTTGTAAGTCAGAAATTGAACAAACAACATATGGAGTATTCAATTCATAAAATCCAAGAATGACAGGCAAAATATACAATTAAGGATTGACAAACTGAAGGTGGTTTGAAAAAAAAAAAAAAAAAGTATATACGCATATAAATGAAATAAAATCACAACATCCCACCCCTACATGCAAGCCCAACGTTCGGTTCGGTTGACTCCCAGAGTTCCCCACTCGTCGCAAAGAAAGAAACCCCACATCAAGCATTTAATTCTCCCCATTAAAAATCACTGACTGACTACAATCCATTCCACCCCCCCCCCTCTCCTCCCCCAGCCCCACCTTGCTTTCTCTCCTTCCCAGAACCCATCATAACCCATCAGACCATTTCCTTTCCTTCCTGCATGCACACCTCCTCCATTCTTCGTCAACTCCATTAACGACCCGATAACCCATTTAAAACTCTCTGATCCGCCGCCCCAGCCCGAAGGACAGATACAGAGAGAAATTTGTACTTATTAGGGAGCTATGTATAAGAACCAGCTGCAAGAGCTGGCGCAGAGAAGCTGCTTTAACTTGCCTTCCTACACTTGCATTAGGGAAGGTCCAGACCACGCTCCCAGGTTCAAGGCTTCCGTTAATTTTAACGGCGAGACGTTCGAAAGTCCCCATTACCACTCTACTCTCCGTCAAGCCGAGCACGCCGCTGCTGAGGTCGCCCTCAATTCTCTCGCCACTCGTGCTCCTTCTCATTCCCTCGCTGCTAGAATCATTGTAAGTTCTTTTTTTTTTTTCCCCTTTTTTTGGGTCTTTGCAGTTAACTAATTTTAGAAACTTTCTTTTCCCAAAACCAAAACAAAAAAAAAAAAATTGCGTTGCAAGTTTTCTTTTTTCTTCTTGTAGTTCTACTGGCTGCGTAGCTTCTTGTTTGGGGACAAGGAGATGACAAAAACGCATACCCATTCTTACTCTTGAAATTTCGTTTTCTTTTTTTTTCCCCCCCCTTTTGGTTTCACTGGCAATTTTATTTACCCAGATGTACTTGCTCTGGTTGTTTTAGTTTAGTGCGTGCGGATGATGAAATGACGAAAATGCCCTCTCCTGGGCTTCTCGGATTAGTGGGATTTTCTTTGCAAAGTTTAATTTGGACGGGTGTTTGGTCATATTCTGGGACAAAGAGAGTGAAGCTTTTGAGGGGATTATGGGAGTGACCCTTTTTTTTGTGCTATAATATAATTAAGTAGTACTGCCCCCATCTCGCCTTTACATGTTGGTAAACAGCTGTTTTCTATATTGCAAATGTAATCCAATCTTGGAACAAGGGGTATTCTGGTCAAACGGTAATTGTTTAGATAATTCAGACCCTTTTTTCCTCCCTGCCCTGGTAGGAGTGTGAAAGGAGAAGCTACCAAATTGGCTTCTCTTCCATGATACACGGTTTGAGTTGTGGAATTGTTGGTGAGACCGTTCAAAGTAGTAGTGGAGACGCTTTTTTTTTTTTTCTAAGCAATTCATGACATTTTAAGAAGTGGGTTTTGCTTGAATTTTGGGCGGATTCACTAATTAACAAAGATATAAAATAGTAATGTGACGAAGATTGACAATTGAATTTGCTGACTTTTGGGTTTTTGTTCTTTTATTTAAAGCGCAAAAATTGAAGACGTTGATGTGAGTATGAACACATTGAAATCTTGGGGGGACACTGTTACCTAACTATAATAACTATGGTATTCAATTCAGATTAGCCAACTTTCAGGCTGGTCACGTGGTAGAGAATTCTCTGGTTTGCAATTAATTTCATGCCAAGTAAACTTGCAGTTTTGTGATGACTGGAAATTAATGGTTGATTTTATTTTGCGTAGGTCGTTTTTCCGGTAACTGCATGCAAATTACTATAACAAGACCAAATAGAAACTTCTTTGCAGAAAAAGGATGATAAAATGAAGTCAAGAAAATACACCACTATTTATATGGGGGAAAAAAAAAAAGACTACAGGTCAAGCATTAAATGATGAATTTTTGTATTACTCTATGCTGGGAGAATAGTCATGGTGGCACATGTGGGAGGTCTAGAGCAAATTTATGGTCTTGTCTCCCTCAATTTAATGTATTTATAGATACATACAACGCTATAGTGTGCACATGACTATTTAACACTAGCATGGATGGTTGGCCCTTTATGACCTGCAAAATGTATTCATTTGAAGTTTATGAGAGTATTCTTTTCCCCACGTAATTTCTCGTGGCGGGATACATGTTCAATAATCAACATAAAAGAAATCGATGTCTCAGTTACTGCTGATTTTAATTCCAGATCTGTGACTCTGGCTTGAGCTTTTGAGGTCATGGAATTCTCAGTGTATGCAGTGGAAAGGTTTAATGGCTGGCAGGATTATATGATTCAGAACTAATCGAGCACGTAGAACCTTCCAAGTTTCCCATTCTTTCTTTCTGACTAATCTATATGAGAGCTAGAGGAGGTTCTTTCCTCTTAAATGGATCAAAAAGAGCTGCTGATGGAAGGATCTAGTGTTTTTTTTTTTTTTTAAAGTGTAAATGGTAGGTCTTGAACCCGGACCCTTCTCTTTTCTTAAGGATCTAGGAGGTTATCTATCTGTGTAGAATATGTTCAGCTTTTTGTAGATACGATCATTGAGATCGTCTCTGTTTTCCTTAAGTTAGCAATATACAGTGCGCATATCTGTCATTTTACTATCTGGTGTTTGGAAAATTTGGTTTGCTTTTAAATGACCAATCAACCAAGTCTTATTTTCCGTGTAAGTAAGAAAGTTGAGTTGTGTACCGTGCCACATGTCTGATTCTGAAACATAATATTTTTGATCTTATACAGTACAAACTTGTAGTATCTGTTATGACGCTTCTGGTTCTTAGATGTAGCTTGCTTGTGCATATAACATTCTACCATTTGACATTGATGGCACACGGATGATCATAGTCTATGCAGGTAGTTACCATTGACAGTATTTGGGTGCCAATAGTCCAAGCAAATAATTAAAGATTCTCAAAAAAGCATAGATACTCAGATACTATGTATGAGTACCAGATGGATATGTTTGAAGAAATTAGTATGGAGTTTCTTGGTGTTATGCATGCTGGAATATGCAAGCCCTTGTCCTCTCCAAAATATTTTTTTTCACTTTAGTTAGCATCTTTTGATAGTGGCATGATTATTTAAATGACTAATCGAAATTTTGTTTTGGTCTCAATCGGTTTAACGCATGTTAGGATGAGACGGGTGTCTACAAAAACCTCCTACAGGAGATTTCACAAAGAGTTGGATCGCCTTTACCCCAGTATACAACTTTCAGGTCAGGTCTGGGGCACCTACCAGTCTTTACAGGAATAGTGGAACTGGCTGGAATAATGTTTACGGGAGAACCTGCTAAGAACAAAAAACAAGCTGAGAAGAATGCTGCCCTGGCAGCTTGGTCATCACTGAAGCAACGTGAGTCCTCTCTTAACATTTTGAATTGGAAGAATTTCCATTAGATCATGAATACTTCTAGAAGGGATATTCTCTTACATGTTTGTATCTTCCAGCCATATCAAATAAATCTTTTGTACATTGGAGGGAAAATCCATCTTTTATCTCCATGTACCTTTTTGCATGCTCGACTTTCATAAGCTGGACTTTTACATACTGTTAAAATGCAGAAATATTTTGAGGTTCTGTCAATTCAAAATGAAACACAGGGAGACGTGATAGGAGTTTAAAGTTGTACAGTATTAGGTATTGTTTCCCATGTATGACAAATTTCTCTTCTCCCAGCATATGAACCAAACATGTTGAAGAATCATACTACAAATCTTTACTTCTTTGATATATGAAAACATATTGTACAAAAAAGATCACCATGCTTGATCCCTAACATGTTAGGATCCAGTTATCAATTCCCAGTATTTTCATTGTACTAGTTGGGGTACTTACGGTGAACTTAAGAGGGCATATTTTCTTTTGGTTCAGTGGCACAAGAAGATTCTAGTTCATCATCAGAGCCAGAGAATAATGATGAACAGGAGCAAATCAGAATAGCTAGAGCCCTACTTAACTACAGGTTGAAGGAGAAGATTCATATGTCTAACAGTAGCAGAACCTCTGTTCCCTTTCAGAAGAAATCTTTTATTCCACCGCCTCGGCCATCAAGTCCGCAGCGTCCTCCCACGGCCGCATCTAAAATCCTCCCCTTGTTTTGCCAAAATAGTGTTTCTCAGAATAAACAAGCAGTAGCAAATGACAGCCCTGTTCCATTATCACAGTCTCTTTCATCAGAGGCGCGTTCAGTTCACTGCCACAAGCTTCCTACCATGGAGAGGGCAACTTATGTTCCTATTACACAGTACAGGACACCTTACAAAGGGATTGCTCCTCCTGTTACAATCAGAACAGCAGTACCAGTTTACTCTGCACCACCCCTTCCAGCACCATCTGCAAGTCACACTCGAGCAATGCAGCCTCGACCTGTGCGAATGGCTCCCCCAGTTCGTATCAGGCAAGCTATTCCTGTATTTGCTGCTCCATCAGCAACCCCAAAGAGAGAATTACCAAGTAGTATAGCTTATAGCTTGTTAGCAAAATCACCACCTCATGCTGAAGAATCAGGAAGTGAGCCAAGCATTGACATAAATGAATCTACAGTTTTGAAGTGCTTCGAACATCTGGAAATTTGATGGTAACTGGAGAGATACGAATGTACTACTTATGTTTTGTGTATGAGTTTACTCTGCATTTCCGTCTCTTGCTGCTTTTTGATACGAGTGCCTCGTGTTCTTCATTTACCATAGTTTACTTTCAGCTTCTGCCTGTCAATTTAGTACCAATGTTACCGAACGCTCCCAGTTGCGGGGATGATGCAAGAGGGTCACTGCTTCTAAGATTAAAAATATCGTCTATGATGCTTCTATCGGATTATGATGTTTGCTAATAAGATCCATGTCTACAGATCTAATGGGTCTCATTATTTATATTGATTTGTTGGAGAGAAGAGAGGGAAGGTTATCAACAACCTAATTCCCTGACTGTCTTATGAAATTCTTTCCACTGAATTAGAAGATCGCCCTTCTACCGCTGCAACTCCTGTCGACTCCCAGCAAATTTCTTCCTTTATCAGAGTTAGAGACATCTATAGTAGTTTTGGGTGCTTTCGCCGCAGTTCAGGATTGTGAAAATTTTCACTTTCTGTAATCCCTTTCTAAACGTCCTATCTTCTGCGAAATATAATGGTGACTTGGGCAGATAATAAGACCATACGAGGCTGCTTTTAGCACAATTACATGAGAGCAAGAAACAAAGGATGAGAAATCTGGACTGGGGTAAAGATGATTCATTTTGACTGTTGTTTCACCAAGAACTACAGCTGAACTGGCGGGCAGCCCGGTTCTTCAAGAAAGAGCCTGCAGCTCAAACCAAAACAGCTGGAGACCAATCCTCACCAGCATAAATCTTACTCTTAAATAGGCCCAAGAGTCTCAATTTGGAAACGGGAAATCAGGAAAGGCCCCAAAGCCCCATACTATTATTCTTCAACGTGACCAGGCATAAACAGGTGACAGATACGGGCTTATAAATAATTTGACTTCCACATCGTATTCTTTTTGTGAACAATATTTTTTTTCCCTTGGCAAACCAAACAAATAACGGGTACCATCAACGAGAAAAGAATCCTGTGTAATCGATTTAAATTGAGCAGACGAGAATTGGACATCTGCTGCGGTTGACCTGTAAGAGTTGTCCAATCCTTGTAACCACAAGTGATCAAAGCATAATGACTTCTCAGCATCGTACAAAGGACTATGATCGATGATGCCAGCCAGTCTTCCTTGCATTTATCATAGCCAAACTTGATGTCTTCCAGTGACATATATTCCCAAGTACCAGCTCATGCAATGTCTCGCCTCTGAGGTGAAAGTAGATGCATAATAAATGATCGCAACCACTAAAAGTTACTCGTAGTACATAATCAATAGCTAACACGATTTTGGAGAATTGCTAATGTGCGTGAAAGTTCTTGAGCAACTTTCCCAAATTTGTATGCTACATCGCTAAAAGATTCAGTGATAAGTCATACACCCATCTGCCAACTAAAATAAGCAATGAAAGCATGTGCATTCATTTTCTGTGCATTTGAATGCGAATTTGCCGCTGAGTAATTGTCCTTAGCATCCAAATTCAACATCTATGATGAATACCTTTCTTGGTTCTAAAAATGTGGGTCGATTTCATGATTGTGCCCTGAAAATGCTTAGGTAGTTGTAAATGATTACTGTTGTTACTCTTCGTTTATGGGAGCTCCCCAAACTACGTGCCCTATATATCAATTGTTTCGTTCTGGTCAACGTTCGTCCTGAAAATGTATCAAAGTCAAAAGTACAGAACTTTTCTTCCCTGTCGTTGACTTTTACATGAAAACTTAGTATGAACTGTAATGACTACTACTATTAAGGACTCTTTAACAATTTTTTTTACCATCGCTCAGCAGAATTCAAGAAGGGATTACAAAGCAATCTCTTAGCTAAAAGGAAAAAATGGGTTTTTTTTTTTCGTTTAATATTCCTGCATTGAAGATGGGACTAATTTTTATCGTTAGCAGTGAATGTGTTCTGTATTATCAACTAGAATCATCGAAATCTTTCTTGACACATGATTCAAGCCTTCAATGCACAGCCGCTTTAATGGTCAACGAAATGCGCTGGTCTCACTCTCTTGTCCGGATCGAGAGGTCCTTGTCTCGTGCATGAAACTGGTTATCCATTAGTCACCAGGCTTCATGCTCTTGATTCTGCAACTAATATTTGCTGTTAACGATAGTAGTATTATGGTTGGTTCTGGAGTACCTAAATCAGGCTAGCAGAGTATTAGTCCACTTCAATTGGGCCTCCCTCGCTGTCATCCATAGTTGATAGGATGCATTTAGCAGCTTAGTACACTAAAGTTGTGCAAAAATAAGCACGCCACGCATAACCTAATGACAATCAAGAACAGTCAAGTTGTAAGGCGTTTCACATTCTATAACTTACTTGACGTAGATTAGATATATCCTCATTTGAGAAATATGATGAATGAAATGTTCCCACAAATATATGGGGGAACATAGGTACACATGGCTGTATATACATCCTGATTTGAAAATCACAGGGGATATTCTTTCTGTATGGTAGATCCCAACCCAAATAGGAATACATTGGAAATGGACTTGATTCCTCGGTCTCAAGGCTGAAGTTACTATTTTGTGCTTGGACAATGCCCAAAATCAAGAAGAGGAGGGGGTGTACAACCATGGCATGATTGGCATCTATTTCTATTTGAGGGTTAAAATGTTTGAGGTGAAAAGAACTATTTTGTGCTTGGACAGTGCCCAAATTGAAGGGGTTTACAACCATGGCATCTATTTCCGTTTGTGGGTTAAATTCTTTATGGGGAAAAGAACAGTGGAAGAATGGAATACAGTGCAAATGGGAAGGGTGGTTATGTGATGTGATAAAAAGAAAGGGAAGAAAAGTACTACTAGACTATTACTACAGCTAAAACAAGTGTACTAAACAAGCAAAGGTGAAGGCTCAATGAGTCATGAGGAGGGCAAAAGAGAGGGAGAGTCATATCATATCCATGTGTAAATGGGCTAAAGGTGGTGGGGCCAAGTCTCCACTTCAACGACACCAAAACCCATCAAAGCAAAGGTCCATGTCAGCATTCTATCAATTTACGCAACCTGCTTAAATAAAAAAATTTTCCCCTACTTTGGGGCCGGCCCAGACAGGATGGGCCCACGAGAAGGTGGGGACTGTGATTGGACCGGGGGGTGGGGATGAAGGAGAGGGGCCCAACTGGGGTTGAGGAAGCACTGGCATTTATTCCTTCCCTATGAAAAAAGCAATGGCTCAAGACAAAAGGAGAGATAGGAACCCTCCACCCATTAGGAACATGAAGGGGAAAAAAATTAAAAAAAAAAAGGTGAAAGGAAACAAAAGAGGGAAAAAAACAAAGGGGAGTGAAGGAGACAAAGTGGGAGAATGTTAATCCCATCACCTAAAGTTGTAAAAAGGAAAGCAAATCAATCTCTCTTATGTATCTGTCCATTTGACTTTGTTATTCCTCATCATAAACCATTGATTGTACTAAGCAGATGGAACTTGCATTGTCTGCTCTGCTTCCATTCCATCTATCTATCTTGGTCAATCTTTCTCTGTGTCATGGCCTTGGAAAACACTAGCAGTCCCTTACTTGCTACTTTTCCTTCACTTCTTTTCTTTTATTGATGATGATGCAAATTCAAAGGGGTATTTCATTCAAAGGGGTCTTTCAATAGTTCCTCAACAACCCAAAAAAAAAAAGCATATATATATATACGTAACCAATTTTATACTAGTAGCTAGCTAGGACAATAATTATTGGGGATATAGTTGAGCACTCTTGGTCCTTCGAGCTTCAAAAGATGTATAAATGACAAGAGATAAAATCTTCTCCTTAATAAAGCCGAAGTAGCAAACATCAAACTCCTCCTTTCCTTTTTCCCTAATGCTCCTAGCGTTTAACAACAAGAGAAAGAAGAATGGCAACTACTGTCCTTCTCAAATGCTAAAATTAACTTCCGCTTGCCAGTTATCCTAGTCTTAATTGTATAAAAAGGGTCTGTTCTCAACTGATTCTGATTTTTATAAAAATTAATTTTCGACCCCTTTTTAGCTCTAAAAATATTTTAAAAAAGGCGAAAGAAAAAGCAATTGAGAACGTTACGCAAAAGATTTTCTATGATCAAAAGCTAAAATTAGGTAAAAAGAAAATAATTAACTTTAGCAGCAGACCAAAAATAAAAATAAAAATAAAAATAAAAGCGAGCTACACAAGTCTGTAACAAGAAGAAATAAGATATGGACTCATCATCAAGTGGTCCATCCATATGAGAGATTAAATATATTAGTTCTGACGTTTTTATACATGGATAGGTGATTAGGCAATCAGGACTCAGGAGGGAAAAGCAAGCAATTATCTGCATATTCGATCGAGCCTTCTCTTTTCTTTTGTATCAGAAAAGCACATGATCCCCACAACACAACAATGTGGATGTGGTGTGCGACTCTCTCTCTCTCTCCCTCTCTGTATATATATATATACATAGATACATATATACATATATATATATGAAGAAGAGTATGTTCACACAGTCACACAGTTACACTCACTACCAATTAACAGTTGTGCGTGCATATATCCTGAGTTACGCTACTGCTGCTACGTAGTACGTACTGCTTCGCAAACACGCATAGCCTCCTCACACAGTGAGTCAGTGTGAGAAAGAAGATTATGGTTGAATCTGAGATACACACACGCACATATATATATATATATATATACAGACATTGCACAATGATACCGACAGCAACAAATATGAAGCATGAAAACCTTTTCCCGAAAGTGGCTGCGATTTCTTTCCTTTGAACATAATATAGTTATTCGTGTAAAATTTTGCCACATGGTTTTAGGCGGTTGGCATGCTCCAAAGGAGACATTCAAAGTCATGTTTGCTAAGATTGCGAAAATCTTTCACTTTGACGCTGGGGAGTTTCATGATCCATACTTCTTCCTAAATTCGACTCCCACCCACCCCCCCCCCTCCACAAAAAGAAGGAAAGAAAATTATACCCTTTACAATCAGCTTAATTATATGTACCATAGTCATTTTTTCTCCCCCCCCCTAATTGACCTTAACCCATATTATTTTCGATTGTGATTTTTTCACGGATGAATTTTTATATTTTCTGTGAACACATTTTTCAATTATTTTTTTACCTCACGTACATTAAATCGTTACAGTACATCTTTTCATTAAAAAAAAAAAACTCCTAAAAATAGCCATCCAAATAGGAATTCTCCAAAATGGCATTTGAGTAATGAACTACTTGCTACATTTAG